CTAGAGATTCTATTTCGACACCGAGGGGGAAATCTCCCAGTTTCTGAAGAAGTGGTCAGGGCAGCGGCAGGGAATAATGGAGAAGATGGACCTCAAATCCTAAAGGTTCTATTTCAACACCGAGGGGAGAATCTTCCAGTTTCTGAAGAAGTGGTCAGGGCAGCGGCAGAGAATAATGGAAAATATGGACCTCTAATCCTAAAGGTTCTATTTCGACACCGAGGGGAGAATCTTCCAGTTTCTGAAGATGTGGTCAAGATAGCGGCCGGGAAGAATAGAGATGGACATAAAATCCTAGAGATCCTATTCCAGTACCGAGGGGAGAATCTCCCAGTTTCTGAAGAAGTGGTCAAGATAGCGGCAGGTAATAAAGCATATGGACCTGAAATCCTAAAGGTTCTATTTCGACACCGAGGAAATTATTTGAGGGATACGGGGTTAGCCCCAGACCCGTGATAGTTCTACGCGTGCAACCAAGCGGGTGAACTCTGCGGCAGGCCGGCTGTGTAGGAGACGAGTGGGCCAAGCAGCAGATAATATTACCATTATACTTGAATGACAGGAGTTTTCAACAGACGGATTGTTAAAGAGGCAATAGGTGATATGGTATCATTGCAGAGGCGACTCATAACCTTGTCGCTTTTAGAGAAAGTTAGTAATCCATTACGTGATGAATATGGATAGTATCTATCTCAAAGACGCCGATTAGTCGGTTTTTCTCCTGTTATTCAAATATCCTTGTCTCATAAACGCAATGGTTTGTTTTGGTATTACATTCGCTAGGCCGTGCATTTGCTTAATCTTAAAGCAGACCCCAACGTTCCTACTGACCCACGTGGAAAATCCTACTAGTGTAGTATCCTCAATGCCTCTAGCTCCTGGAGTCAGGTTGAAAACAAAGAAGAGACACCTGTGTTCCGTTTCCATGAGCTGTGCTATCAAGAACTTGATAATGTCTCTTCCCTAATTTAAAAGACGGCATTACAGTAACAAAGAAGCGGCAATGGCTGCATTTATTATAAAGTTTATTGGCACTAAAAGTAACGAGCATTAGTGCAAATACCAAACAAAAAATGACCTTGACCGACCAACCTGTTCAGAGTCGATCGTTTCCTGCGCCTTGGTTTGACTAGAAGATTACATATTTCATCTGGTAAACGACATGGTATTCACATAGTGAAGCATCCGCAGATCCAGAGGCCCATAGGTGCCAACTTATTGAAAGGCCTGATAGTTAACCCTGTAAGCTTATGGGTTTAGACAAGCACGCCCTTGATATCCGTGAAGATGCTGCCTGCATCCTCAGAAGCAGCATGTCGAGCATGATAGTCCGCATCTGTGTTCCAATCTCTTGGAATACGCCAGAACTTGACTTTCATGCCATTGCTATCCCATCGTTCTATTTCTCCAAGTAAACACTCCCAAAGGTCCCGGTTCTTAACTGCTGCTCCTATGCTCGTCTTCCAGCCTCTCCTTATCCATCCACGTACCCAGGATGTGACACCCTCAACAACATATTCGGAATCCGTCGCAATCACGAGATTGTTGAACCCTTCGCCCGTCCAGAACCGGAACCGTAAAGCTGCAATAACGGCGCGTAGCTCTGCCCGGTTGCTTGTTTGTTGATGGGCTTCACCAGTAGGTCCTTGGTTTTCAAGAGGAAAGCGTACGTAGCCGGCATCTCTAGATTGTGTTGTGGAAGGCTTAAAGACAAAGCTACAGCCGGCTCTGGGATTTGCTCTGCCGTTGTCTAAGCATGCACCGTCTGTGTAGATAAGAAATTGGTTGGCGTTAGTTCGATGAATGAACCGGCGTACATGTGGCGAGGCATTGGTGCTGGTTCCAGGTGGGAAAAGTGACTGTGGAGTATCCGTGGTGTTTTGAGGGTGGAATCGTGTAGGAATGACACGTCCTGTGCCGACTCTAAGTCGCGTCATATCGCCGAAGGTTGTCTCCTCATCGCTCACGTTCTCATCCTGAGACTCTTGATTCTCTGCCAATATTTCGTCCATGAAACTATAATCAACAGTGCAGAAAGGACAGACGACGAGATGGTGTGAGCCACACACTAAACGGCCATCAGGAAGTTCAATAGGGCTGTCTGGGCGGAAAGGCATCCTTCAGGCTAGTTGTTGAGTGAAACCGTAAAGGCGCAAAATTTCGGGAGTGCAGCGATATTCAGGGGATTTCTTGATAGTTCGGAAACTTGGGAGGGAGATAAGCTTGTTGGGCATGTATTCACTAAATGGGGTCAAGTATTAGGAGAGGATATTAAGCTGGGTGGTTTCCATTATATGACATGGGTGTCGGTGGGGTAACAGGTGTGATTTTATTGTTTCTGTGGAGACGTTAAGTTGATACCAAGATCAACCGATAGATCTAATCTAGGGTTGCTCAGACTCACTTTAGATTGTTTTGTTTTTATAGAGAGTTAGAGTTCTACATGTCTGCAGCACTTATTGTTTCGTGAAAAGCCCGGCGTTCTTTCTGAAAACCTTTACTTTCCCAAGATAAATGCAAAGTTGCTGTTTTAGCTCCACGACTACTTCTTAAAAAGCCCCGCATATGCCATCGTTCCGCTGTCTAGTCATGGGCGTATGTATTTACATGTAGAGAGCTGTAGAGCAGAGTATGCTAAAGTGATAGAGATGACATAACGATTCATTTACAATCATTGATACGTACGGTGCCCTCAAATAAGTCCTGTCAATTGATCCGGACAGGCCGGTCCCATTGAGACTTTGTTTAGTCGTGGCTCATACTGGGAGGAAGATCCTCATTCTGCGTCCCCCAAGCACTCTCCGTCAAACCTAGCTCAAGCTCAAGCACACCACCCTCGTTGAAAAAGTCATGACCGATCCAACTCTTTGTCCACGGCTTACCATCTCGCTTGGCGCTCTGAATATAGATACCCTTATAAGTAGGATCGAAGTTGAGATTCCGAATTGTGGCAACCGCGCCGGTAACGCTGTTCCGGATGCTGATCTCTTTGAAGAAGGGTGGTGTGATTAGATAGACGTCTTGTCCATGAACTGGAAAGAGGCCCATCATGCTCAACACAGCGAAAGAGCCCATCGCTCCACCGTCGTCATTTCCGGGGATCCCAGAGACTGATGTGTTGAATTGAGATGGGATGTAAAAGTGGGAACGCGCAGCCGAGAGTGCCGGGCGACCAGCATAGTGATATTGGAAAACGGTAAGAAAGGCTTGCTCATCTCCAACATAAAGTATACCCGAATCGTGTAGGTAGTTCAGTCGAGATGTAAAGAGCTGGGTGCCGCCCAGTCGCTTTATCAGTAGACTCATATCCTGGGGGGCATAACTAAGCGCGTGTTTGTCAGCTTAGAGTATTGTACCAAAGATAAATGACGTACAATGTATAGAGCCAGGAGCTCCCTTCATATGTTTCGTGCCCATCTGGGTTCAGATAGCAGGATGTAAAGTTCATGAGTGGACTGCAGAAGATGGGGTCCTGGTATCCCCATGTCCCATTTTGATAACGAGGCTGCAGGAAGCCCGTAAAACCTGTATCCACACCATTGATTGTCGATATCTGATCATCCTTGAACATGTTCTGCCAGTTAGAAGCTCGCGTGAGGTATTTCTCATAGTCACTCTCATGGCCCATTCGCTTAGCCACTTCGGCGATACAGAAGTCATTGTATGCATATTCGACGGTTCTCGAAATACTGCGCGTGTGGAGCCCTGAGCCATCAGGATCGAAATCGTCCGTAGGGATATAACCTAGTCCCTTCCAGCTCCGAAGGCCACCGCGCCCTTCGACACCCCAGTTCGCTGGTTCAACCTCCGCATCCTTTACAATAGCCTCGTAGGCTGTGTCCCAATCAACATCACTGACATTTTTCAAGTATGCATCCGCGATGAGGACGTCTGCATTGGACCCTCCTTGAGTGTACCCCTTGCAAAGAGACATACGACAATCGGGCAAATAGCCTTCATGACGGTAAATGTCAACCAAGCTCCTGATCATTCGGGATTGAGACAGGGGATCCATCAGGGTCAGTAATTGGTGTACTCCACGATATGAATCCCAGATACTGTAATTTCCTGGTCAGTAACTCGATACCTTATTCTGGTGGGTTCTCTCACCAATAGAAGCTATCGTAATATGGCTCTTCACTTTTCCAAAGTGGATTCTCTCCTGTGTAGTCTTGCGGGCTAATCATCGCTCGATACGCACCGCTCCAGAAAACCTTCTGTAAGTCGGAGGAGATGCCTTCGGTATCAACGCTGATTACATTCAGTTTATCCCTCCACGCAGATTCAGCCGCAGATACTGTTTTAGCGAAATCGAAATCGGGCTGCTCTGTCTCTGCGTTGGAGCAAGCCTGTTCAACACTAATAAAGCTGACACCAACACGCGCAGTGATAGTATTGTTTTTTAATGCCTGGAACCTTGTAAACGTACCAGCCGAAAGAGTGGCTGGGGTATTGCTCCCGTCTTCAACAAGCGTGACAGTCTTCGGACTGGAACCAGCTCGATTTTTGACCCACGTCCCTGTGTCGCGAATATCACCGCCCTGGAAGTCTACACAGAAATGGAGCTCATACGACCCAATACCGAAACTCGGATTGAATGTGGCGTTCCCACTCAGGCGTCCAGACGAATCAACTGAGGCTGTACCACCCTTTCGCGACTGGGGCAGGTCCATGAGATCGACAAGAATCACTGGGCTAAGGGACTCTGTGGGGACATTGTTAAATGTAAATCGATATAATGCCGAGTGGTTTGTCACCGTCATCTCAGCTTGCACGCCGTTTTCCAAACTAATGCTAAAGTAGCCTGGTCTGGCCTTGGGAGAGTCTCGTACCCACGCGACTGCGCGATCGTTTTGTTGCCATTTACATTTGTTGAGGTCGTCATCTGGGCAGTTAGGCTGTGCGAATATAGGAAAGTTACCCATAGATGGTGACTAGGAGCAGGTCAGAACCCTACGAATTGCCATAGGGACATTTTCAAGGCCATCACTTACACCCCCCGTCCCGGAGTCATGGGTATGTGAGAAGCCAGTGACCGTTTCGGTGTCAAATGCAAAGCCAGCTTGATTCTCGCCCTGTGTGTCTGCTACCGCTTTTGCCATACCTTTACGGACATTAGTGGCTGGTTTCAGACGCTAAGTAAGAGAAAAATTACCAAATGGTAGTGTCGCCCCAGCAAAGGAATGCCCTATATTGCCTAATCAGTTCTGGGCATACAGAACTGCTGCCATACAGATACATGCCTCCATTAGACGTTCCAATAAGTGGATCGACATAGTCTAGGACATCAAACTCATTTGGAACTGTATCCTGTCCACGAACTCGGCCAGGAAATAAGAACGTTAAAGCAATCGGCCCCAGGAGCTTCCAAAATGCGAAGCCTGACATATTGTGGGAATCAGATCGCACATGCAGAGATCGAAAATACGCTGGATTAAACAAAGAGGCAAAAGGCAGCAAGATATCAAGAAAAATCCTTAGAAAAGGGGGATAACTTTATTTCACCCCTTGCTTCTTTCCAATGTGGCTGCACTATTGGGAATGACATTCCTTAAATGCCCGCCGATGTCCCACCAAATCGGTGCCTTGAAAAGGGGCCACATGGGTTTGTTTTATTCCCCGCAATAATTATTTGACATGTCAGAGCGACTTGGACCAATTGTCTACGGGGTGCAATCTCAAGATGTGACATTAAATCCAGCCCCTCTTTGTGGAACGATGTGACATAGCGGAAATTACCGCTGCGATTAGGAAGAGAACAGCCTATTAGAGAGAATCCTGTACAAAAATGACCAAAGACCAGAAGGTACTCCAGAGTTGACAAGTTTCTGCGGGTAAATGCCGATCATTTCGGATCTTACTTCGGCTGCATTATAGCTTCGGCGTAACCCCGCAATTCGTAGGAAACGTTGCACCACCTTGGATTGGAGTCCACTGAAAGAGACTAGTCAATTATTAAACAAGATCGTATGATCTCGAGGGATGCTAAGCCATGGCGTGTGTACTAGTCAATGCTGGTTGCTTCTTTGCCAGTTGAGTCGTACTTGAGTGACCTCAAAAACCCAAGCTACCGTTTGTAGAATCTCATTAATGCCAGTGCGCCTTTACAGGGTGGCTAATACAGTCCTGTGATACGCTTTAACCGTCTGGTGGATGTCCTGGAGGTGCCTCCTAACGAAACAAATTGGTGCAGACCAAGCCGCAACTGCGTCCAGAGGATTGGCCTGTGGGGGTCTTTGACCCTGTGCCTCTTGTGACTTCATTCACTGAAAGAGATGGCTAGAGGGTTGGGAGCTTCAAACGTCTCGGAACCATCCAACCGTATCGTGCTATTTCGCAGCAACACTTGCACAATCGACACGAATATTTCTTTGAGGTCTCATTGCCATAATATGGCGTCTTCATGACGATATCAATGGGTTTGGAGCTCCATGTTCTCTGCATTTCATCAGAGATATGTATGACCTGACGGCACAAAGTATCAGTTGCCCTCTGTTTGGGTATGATACCAGGTCGGTAATGATGAGGGGTGTGTGCATATCAGTATTATCAGGACAGGGCTAGATTAAATCCATCACGATTCTATCCCAAGACTTCCCGTCCGTATCGGACGGCGGCCTTGGCAAGATCGGAAGAGGATTAATTGATGAAGAGTTGATCAGGGGCTCGTTTGTTGGCAGCCTGGAGGTAAAGTATGCCCGGAAGTTTGCATTTTCATTTCGCAAAGCAACATTTTCTGCCTTCAGTTCCTGAACCTCCTGTTGCAGTGATTGCTGGACTTCGAGCTCTGACATCATAGACGCCAATTTCAGCAAGAGCTCGGGCCTTATGTCTTTGTCAGCATCAAGCTGACCATAATCAACAAGGAGGTTTTTAGCGCGGGACAGGATGTCAGTTTCCAGAGTCGCAAAATTCCTGTGATGTTCAGAAGACTGTTGGCGGTCGACATCAGCCGAAGATCGTATAGACTGGACCTGGGTGGGCCCTGCCAATGGGCCTAGACTTGCCAAAGGCCGGCGCCCATCTATAGGAGCATATTCACGGGGACTGGTGACTCGGCTATAGCAATTTGCACCGGGGGTACTGCTCCGCGAGGCGTTCGAGGAAGCTGCGGACCTGTCGAATTGAGGTGGTGACTGATCCCAGCGTTTGTGTCTGCAGGATGGGCAGTAGAATGGCCCAGTCAATATGGAGGCATCTTGCGATGGCAGGCAGTGAGTATGGTAAGACCTGCAGCAAGTTTCACACAATATCAAGTTGCCAGGATTACGGCAACCAGAGCAGACTAAGTTGTGCGGTTTTCCAGCACCTAGCGCCATTAGAACACACGAGCAAAGTGTGAGATTTTTCAGAAGAAACTAACGAATCCATTCATCATATATATAGCCTTTTTCCGCATCGGAAATACTGCCAGAACCATACCATTCGCTACTAGATGCCGCTACTGGGCGCAATGAGTGCAATGTCGCTGTGTGCTGAACGGGTAAATGATTGTTCCATGGCCCAGGTTTGTTCAAAAGCCCTTGGGGAGTATTAGGTTGGTTTTCCTTTGACCGCAGCATTACTAGTGATCCACAAGGGGCATCTGAAGAATGTACATGTAAAATTGGGATGATAGAGGTGAGATCGTATTCGGTATTGAGCATAGAAGCAGGTGGAAAAAGGATGGTCCGTGATCCGAAGTCGGGTTGATCTCCGAATCTCACCCGAGGTACAGCCGTCCCGTGACCAGGCCGCTGCCAAGAATCCGTGACGACAGAAGCTTCCCTCAATCCTGCGATAGTGTCCAAACTAAAACCAGTGCGGCTATCTGGAAACCGATGAAGCGCTCGCATAGCACTCAAGGAGCTCCATTGTGTCGCGACATGTAGGGACAGTTCATGACTGTTGTCTTTGGTGAAAGTAGATACTATTTCGCCACAATTGGAAGCCCCACTACACGGTGGAAACCATGCCTGGGGTACCATCCAACAAAGCATGTGAGCGATGCAAAAAGAGGCATCTCAAGGTCCGTGCCAACCATCGCTTGACTTACCATCTTGCATTCTAAACCCTCTAGTGTGATGAGGCACGCCCGAAATGCCAGCGCTGCACAAACGCTGGGGTAGACTGCCCGGGATATGTCCAAACGCGCAAATTCATAGACCAAGGCGCCTCGGTAAGGCGCCGATACGCGCCCTACCAAGAAAGTCACACAAAGCCACATACATGCAAAGGCACGGAAACTGTAAGCTGGCGCATCATACCCTTACATCCACTGTTTCAGGGACGGTGTCTCATATCAACAGACTGCCGGTGAACGCCTGCCCAGCCAACATAGTGGCCAACACAGTGCTGGTCCTAGTCAAGCTCATTCTGTTCTTCCGCCCACTACGGGCTTGAGATCTAGCGAGTCTAGTCAGCCAGGGGCTCACTCACCAACCCAAAGCATGAGGGTTAACGCGACACAATCCCCCATAAGAATGAATGCCGTTAATCTCATGACACACCAGTCCATGACAGACACCACGTCCGTTGACATTACTGGCCTGGACCAGTCACGGAGCACTTCTAGTAGGAGTGCTGGCCACAGTCCGCTAATTTTTAATAATGCTACATCTCCCCACGTCTTGGGTAATGCTTATAATGGCGTTCGATCCAGACCCCCATCTTCTCATACCGCCTCGGGGAGCCCATCACAGCCTAGCGAAAGAGACGAGTTCCAGGATATCTTCTCCGAACTCCAAACGGGCACTGAACATGAAACAGCGTTTCTGATTCGGCATTTTTCGGATAATCTGGGGCCTTGGTACGTGAGGCCTTGAAAGAGTGTCGGTGTGCCTCGCGCTGATTGAAGGACAGGCTTGACATCTCAGATTCGACCCGGTTTTTTGAGGTTCACGTACCAATACGCGCGATCAATGATCCCTTCTTAAAGTTTGCAATTGCTGCTCTGGCTGCGAAGCATCTCGGCAGGATGAAAGGCGCAAAATCACCAGCTAGTGGTGGAATGTTCACAAGCCCAGCGACCATGGAAATTTATCCAAATGCGACACAAGTGGACTGGTTTCTCAAAGCAACTAACTACTACTATATTGCCGCTTCACGCATGAATTCCGCCATCTCTGAAGCTTACACTTCCGTATCTAGCTCTGCGATTTTAGAAGAATCAGCAATTCAAATCGCTAGCCGGTGGTTGAGTCTTCAGCCACAGCAGTCTAGTTCTATCGCCGAAGAAGCTGCTAGCACTTTCTCGAGAAAGGCAGAGAATATCCTCGCAGCCTCGACTATCATGACGATGTATAAGATTTTGGATGAGCCCGCAGAAAATTGGCAATCGTGCGTGAACACCCCGTTCCACCTGTTTCTCGCAACTAACGACTCATAATCGCTCTAGGCACCTTTCGGGAATAAAGTCATTATTTGACACTTTGCTAGAAGTGCACAGTGGTACTTCGTCTATTCCATGCTTACTGCCCCAAGGGGCTCGGGCAGCGTTCTGGAATCTTGCTCGGTTGGATTACCTAAGTGCTTATATCAATCGAGTCCCAACTCAGTTTGATCAGGACAACTTTTCCTTATGGACAGCCGCCGGCATTTCTATTGATGAATCGGGGAACATCTCATTGGATGCCAAGGATATGATTGATAAGGCGTTATCACCCGAAGATCTTGCAGCTAACAGCTTGACTTGGCTTGTTGCAAAAGTGATCAATTTTCTAGCGGAGTCGAAGAAGTCACAATGGGAACAATTAACAGGTCATTCATCTAGTGATCCACCTACACCGTCTTCAACACCCCCTACCTTTACTCCATACCCTTCTACGTCTACCTGGTTGAAACTCTGCTTCGATTTTCAATCCTGGTTCGAAGGGTTACCGGAGACGTTCCGCCCATGCCTGCGGTTAGACCATCCCAAAGACCTATCGAAGCTTCCAGAAATTGTTTATTTGCCGTTTCCGGAAATATTTTACGGTCTTACATCCTGCGCTGCGACAATGCAGCAGTACCACTTTGGACGTCTTGCGTTATCCTTGAACAGGCCACCGGATGCTGTCAGCGGGCCCAGCACCGCCTTTGACCGCCTACAAGGGTACCGGGAGTTGATGAAAGAGACCGAATACCGTGGTCGGGAAATCTGTGGCATTGCACTCGGTCGTCCCCGGAGTGCCGCCCGTGTTTATACGATACCGCTTTTGTTTGCGGTCGGACAATGCTTCGAGAATCCAGAGGAACGCCAAATAGTTGTTGATTTACTACGTGGGATCGAGGCGGATCTTGGATGGGAGACGAGCGTTCGGGTCCAGAAGTTGCAAGCTTCATGGGCCCAAAGATAGACCCAAGTTTTTGCGCCCGATTTTTCCCTCACCATCATGGGGAGCATCTGCAACCATGTCAGACCGATTATGCCCCAAGGCAGCGATCTAGATGATTGTGCATCTACTTAACTAGCATACGAAGCGCGTTCTCCATCGATCTACTCAGTGTCACCGGCCCAATAATCGTCATATAATCATTCTAATATATTTAGAATTAGCAGCACAGCCTCGCAGCGACAGCACTATGGGTATTATGCTCTGAAGCAATCCGCGCGCTCCCTGGGGAATAATGAGTTAGGGTTTGGGGTTTAGGTGTGTACAGAATACCCACGCTACTGGATCTGTTATCGGGACGGCCCGTCTGAGAGCTGAGGTCGCCGATGATTTGCATTGAATGTTTAAACTTTTACTTGATTATAATTTCACCTAATATATGACAAGTTTCTCCGATGTGTGGTTGAATATCTCCGGAGTCCTTCCATCATACCAAAGCTACTCGTTTTCAAGCTACCATGGATGGTCAGCTGTTCATTTCACGAGAAGAGATTTCCCTGGATAGAATCGGACGGTCAGTTTCACAGCTAGAATAGACCCATCTTGATTTTTCTACATTCTCTTTTTTGGGTACAGTTTCTAGACAGCTTCCACTGTGCAGTTTCGCCTGTCATAATGCCAAACAAAAAACGTGCAACGCATGTCTTTGGCCCATGCCCCTGAGTGTTATTTTATTGTTTTATTCTCCTCTGTTCTCTTGTCTTCCCAACCATCATCTGGGTGATGCGACAGTGGATACATCCCTGGCCAGGGGGGACTGGCACTACGTTAGGTAGTTGCTGTTGATCGCGCCGACTCAACTCAGGGGTGAAGCGCTCAGAAATCGTTACAGGAGCTGTCGGAGTGGGTAAAAGCTAACCCTTATACTTTGCCTCGGCCGAGTGTTGCATGTCATCAGCATCGCCAGAATGTAACCTTTGCGTCGTGTGCATTTCGTACTCCGTACAGTTTTATCTTTTCCACTGCAACGGCCTCAGTTGCCCGATCTTAGCCGTTTCGACTCTTGATGAGCTAAGACAAACGCACGTCCCTCCGAAGAGTGCTGTGAATGCTACAAGCATTGAGTAGTATCTGATAAGTAATGAATAGACTCGATTACCTTCCTGAAAGGGTATAAGTTGAATGGGTTGACGATGTTTGCTTCCCGTTCGGGCAAAGGACGCGCCAAGAGGTTCTCGAATTGAGGGCCAAGGTTTGCATCTCTCCGAGGAAAACCCGTCACTAACCTAACTAACCAACCTGTTTCACACACACTGCCTCCTCCAAAGTCTCCAACGTCTCAGAAGAACGGACAAGCATGCCCATTTCAGCAACGGAAATCTCACCGGATGGAGCCTATAAGACTTCATCCTATTCTGACACCAGGATTGTGGATCGGCACGCACCTAGCCCTATGTAAAAGGACCAACGATTTGAGGCGCAAATGGACGAGTAAAATAGGTTGTGCCGCACGTCATTCGGGTGTTGGTGGGTTTTATCTGCCGACATTGATCCACCTATGGAGTATGTCCGTGACCACAGGGGGATATGCAACAAAGGTTGCAACCAACACGGATGATTATCGGCTCGCTTCACGGAGGGGCGAGGAGGCGTATAACCATAATGTCATGGTCTTATATCACCTGCGTATTTATACGAGCATGTGAACGTATCAACCCTTGACTCCTATCTATATTTTGATCCCACCTATTTTTCTTTTTTTTTTTTTTTTGGGTGTGTTACTTTCGGCTCAATTTTTCTGAACTTTCTTGAACCGATCATGCCTTCACTCCACTCTGGCACCAGTTCGGAGTCATCCAGCCCGGTGCAGAAAAACGTGAAGAAGTGGTGGAAAGAGAGCACAGTATACCAAGTCTACCCAGCATCTTTCAAGGACTCTGATGGAGACGGTATCGGGGACTTACAGGGTATCCTATCCAAGCTAGATTATATCAAAAGTCTCGGGGCCAACACAATATGGCTCAATCCGATCTTCTGCTCTCCCCATGTCGATATGGGATACGACATCAGTGACTACTATAATATTTATCGGCCCTATGGGACAGTCGAAGATCTTGATCAATTAACAGCCGCGATCCACGAGCGGGGAATGAAGTTGGTCCTCGATTTAGTTGTAAACCATACTTCAGACCAGGTTTGCTACCCCTGTATCACGGTCAAAGACAATACTGACAATATGTGTCTAGCATCGGTGGTTCCAAGAAGCGCGTTCGTCAAAGGCTAACCCCTACCGTGACTGGTACATCTGGAGGAAGCCGGTATATGGAAAGGACGGAAAGCCTCAGCCACCGAACAACTGGAAGTCTTACTTTGGGGGTGCGCATAATGTTTATCAAGTCTTGATATCCCGCATTCTAACGTTCTACAGGAAGTGCTTGGGAATACGATGAACCGTCCGGTGAATACTATTTGCATTTATTCGCAAAGGAACAACCAGATCTGAACTGGGAGAACCCCTACGTTCGCGCAGCTGTGCACGACATCATCCGCTACTGGCTCAATAAGGGCGCCGATGGTTTTCGAATGGATGCGATCAACCTTATCAGCAAGGATCAGAACTTCCCTAATGCCGAGATAACGAACCCAGATTCGCCGTGGCAGAACGGAACGAAACATTTTGCATGCGGCCCAAGGCTCCATGAATACCTTCAAGGTATTGGCAAGATACTGAAGCAGTACGATGCTTTCTCAGTTGGTGAGATGCCGGAAGTCTACGACCTTAACGAGATGCTGAGAAGCGTCGGGAGCGATCGTAATGAATTGAGCATGGTCTTTCACTTTGAGACGTATGTCGCTACTTTGTCTAGGTATATTTTATAGGAGCTAATATCGAGTCTAGGGTTTCCCTCGACCACGGGCCAGGAGGCAAGTTTACATCCAGAAAATGGGAACTACACGAGCTGAAAGCCATCGTGTCGCGATGGCAAACATTCATGCACGAGAACAACGGCTGGAACACACTGTACCTCGAAAACCACGATCAGCCACGAATTGTCTCGCGATTTGGCTCCGATGAGCCTGAGTATCGCGTGCCTTCGGCAAAGATGCTGGCCACTTTCCTGGGCTTCCAGAGCGGGACTCTGTTCATTTACCAAGGCCAAGAGCTGGGAATGCCCAACGTGCCCAAACACTGGGGAATCAACCAGTATAGGGATATTGAAACCTTAAACCATTGGAATGAGTAAGCGCATTGGTCGTAATCGTTTCGCATTGAGCACGGGCTAACCAGGGTCAGGATCATCACCAACGCTCCACAAAATACCCCACTACATGAGGCCTGTCTTGCTGAATACAGATTAAAGTCGAGGGATAATGCACGGACACCCATGCAGTGGGACGATTCTCCCAACGCTGGCTTCTCGTCCGTCCGGCCATGGCTTCCCGTTCACGATGACTACAAGAATCTCAACGCAGTAGACCAAGTCAACGATAAGGATAGTGTGTACCACTACTGGGCTAGCGTGCTGCGACTACGGAAAGCGTGCCCCGATATCCTAGTATATGGGTCGTTTGAGCTCCTATCTCCTGAGCATCCAGACTTATTTGTCTACGCCCGAACAGCCTCTTCTGGCCGAGCTGTGATAGTCACCAACTTTCGCCAACACGAAGTAACCTGGTCTGTCCCGGAGAAAACCTTTAACTCCTCCGGGGATATCGCACTTTCTAGTTACCCTGGCCGAACGAGCCATTCCTTATTTCAACCAACGGTTACCATCAAGCCTTTCGAAGCGTTTGTCTGGCTCAGTGGGACCGAAACATCACGACTGTAGATTTATAATACGAACAATTAATGACCTCATTTAGTATCATTCCATTGCGCATCATCCCCAACAGTACCCCTTTTCCCTACGCCAGACGACAATCCAGACCCTTTTCGTGGTAAATGAGTCGCCGAGACTTCCCCAAATGTGTGATCCGTCAAACCTAGAGACCCAAAGATAAAATATGCAGAAATACCACGGCCATACATCCAGAAACAACTTCTCGTCCGAGATATCAAACCTCCGCGGCTCAGACGCACTTAAGTTCTAATCTCACATTTTGGGGCCGTCTCATTCTTTAATTCCCTGCACCAAAGAGAAATTTTCCGAGGAAGCTCCGAGGACGGACCAATTTATCTCCTGGACTTTTCCACCCATTTCTTTCATTTTTATCCTTTCGCTTATTGCCAGTTTCCAATGATCTGACACAGATCGAAGTGGGGCTGGAGCCATGCGATAATATTAAGCTTGATTCGTGGACTTTTGTTCTCTCGCTTGTGTTGGTTGTGTCAGCTGCGATGCTCGGTTTTTCTCCCCAATGTCAACTGGCTTCGGGTTCCACATCGATGATTATGAATTGATTCTTGCCAAGTTGGCTTTTATTTTATTTAATTTTTTTCCCATGCAAAGTAACTAATGATATCAGTGCTTCATGTCCAAGGAAATCCCCCTTAATCAATCGAATGGGCGAGTAATCATATATCGTTAATGTGCCGACCAGTGGAGCGTTCCAAAACTAGTCGCCAGATCTGACACAGGGGGCTGCAACTGCATATCCCAGCCCTAACTCCATCCCGATAGGTGCTTTTTCCTCCCCAAATCACTCAAAGTACAAGGGGTAAATGTCCTTGATTAACCTCCTATGCGCTGGATCCATTTTGTGATAGCACTCCCAAATTCAAACAACTTCCCAGCAACGCACGCCTCATGTGAGATCCGGCGGACTCGGTTTACGCAGAAGTCTCTTGTAGAGCTCCATCAAGGTGCACATTTCCGGGGATGTCTCACGGTTCATGAATCCGTAATCTGCGCTGATTGTATCTTCAGGCGTGAACTCCGCCGGGTTATCAATAGCTAGAAACTGTTTCAGTAACCAGACAGATAGGTGCGACCCACAGGGTGGACTTGAGAAGAACTCTTCCAAAAAGGGGAATTAGAGCCGTTCGCGTCTAAAGTCCTTCGAGTCAGCAGTTGGGTAATTTTTCCTGGCTCATGGGCTTTCCAGAATTCTGTGAATACTGCCTGTTGTATATTTCCCTTCTGGGAATAGGGGTTGGGACGTCATCAAATAATTTGTCGCCAATGAGGAGTCTTTTGTCCAGTTCACCGAGAGCCCCTTCCTTGCTTTCGTCGTGACTGGTGCAAAACCCGAAATTGATCCAATTGGTTTCGCTGGGGCCGGGATGGACCATGTGTGGAGTGAGAGCTAGCATATAGAAGCAATCTCGCTTGGCTTCTGGTTCGAGTTATGTGTGGTGTTTGTCCTGGTCTTCTTTGGCGAGGTATGACCGTGCTTTGACGAAGAATGTAGCTACGGTGCGCCTCCTTGCCTCTCAGCTCATCAAGACACTAGATATGCTCTAGAAACTACGGAAAGTATGCAGCCCAGGGCTGTTCAGGTATCCGGTAAAAGCCTTCTTTGATGTTGACAAAGGAACCTTCAACTTGCCACTTGTGAATATCCTCAACAGGAACTTTCTTCACCCAAAGGCCGTTGTAGACTCCGAAGGACATACGCTTGTCTGCAAATGACCCGAAGTAATTGTAGCTGAGGTCTGTGCAAACTTCCTCTTTTTCGGGCATCCGGTCTTATTTAACACTTCTCTTAGGAAGTTTGCAGATATCAAGGGGCATTTTGTGGAGGTGAAGAGATGTCTTCCAGAGCACTTGTCTTCGCACGTTTGCCTGCAGTAGAAGTCCATCTTGCATAAACTTCATTCTCGTGATGTTTCTTCAGAGAAAATAAAGCATCAATCAGGATATGCTACATGGTCATGTCGAGTACTTCTAGCGTTCGTCCGAACACCCGAGCTTACCTCACAGTACAGCGAAAGACAGGCCAATTCTTGGAGAACGATATTTCCATCAGTTTGTATGGTAATATATTCTAGGAGGATAATCTATTGAGATTCATACTCTTGGTCGATAGTTACTTCCAGAAATGGTTCTCCGACAAGTGACATGCTTCTGGGAGTGCATACATCACAGAGAAAGTTCTCGGGTTATGGTCTTTAGTTTATAGTCTTTGTGAGAGAATCAAACGATCAGTTTCACTGTTTTCTTTCGGCATTCTCTGAGTAATGATAGTATAGCAGAGCTCACTGCTCCCTTGTTTCATTAGTGGTGATTTGAAGATTCTATAGAGATGGGAAATAAACCTAATCTTAGATTATTGTTGTGCAATCAATCAGAGTATTCCTAATAGGAAGTTCAGAGGGACTACATTATCCTAGAGATCTTGAGAATTCACTTCGCCACAAAATAAGTGTCAATAACGTCTATTCAAGCTTATCCTAGTCTCCGTAGCTGAAGCTAGATAAGTGTATCTGAACATATAGCTTGCCATACAGGAAAGTGAGAGATTATGTTACGTAGCCGACATTCTGTCTTTCACTAGATGCCTTACGGCTCAGGTCTGTTTAATTGGACTATATGCTTCCTTCTTCGAGCACTGTGAGGTTCTACGATAGATAGTTATCGTACATTGTTATATAAACACTCAAGAACTCACATTAGAAGGTATACTCACTAAATTATCAATGAACCATATTTCAAAAGTTCTACATTCGAAAAGACACGGACCTCTAATACTGACATTCATATACCTATCTTATTTATTAGTCAGAGTAAGTACGAGTATGCATACAAATCCTTTCTATAAACATACAAAGTTAAAGAAAATAGCCAATCCACCAATTTCAGAACTGTCGACTTATCAATCATTAAGATTTTCTTCCCCGCACTCTATTCAAATATGATATAAATACTGTGACAAAGAAAGGCCTGATTATGCAAAACGATCACTTGGCACTCGGCACTTGAGATGTTAACCATCGGCCTCTCCCGACGCTCGAACCCGAGAGGGGAGACGCTGGGATCCGATGGTCGCTTCCACTCGCACATCTCCGATATTATAGTTTTTTGTATAGTGCGCACATCTGACGCGTGTGGGGACTGTACGTTGTGTTTAGATCAGTTTTGTCAGGTACTTTTGAGATGTGTCCAGAATTGTAAGTTGACGAGTGTGTATACTGGGTGGATGGAGAGTATATTGTAGTAGATTGTTGGTTTGAGTAGAACAATATATTTGCCAGGGAGTCTAGTTTCACTGCTAGAGATTGTTTATGTTATGAGAAGCCTTGTTGCTATCGTGTTATGGAGTTGCTGGGGATGTATATAGTACTGTTCTTTACATCGCATGGGAAATGAGCTTTGGTTTATGTAGTGAGATTTAGTAGCATGGGAATACATCTAGAACGAGTAAAATGAACTTAGATCCGGTTTATTGTATTTGTCTATTTCGGTCATCAAGTGATACATAAAAGCAACATACTCCAAACAATGCAGTGACCAAATGCGTGGTATCAATCGCGCGTATATCAGATCCGCCAAGATAATAGGAAAAGCACATTCGCACCAACTCTCAAAAATCATCCTCATCGTCATCATCATCCAGATCCAAATCAAGGGTAGCTTTCGGCTTTGGCTTCGGCGCAGCCGCCGACATTCCACCACCACTACCACCACTACCGGCGGCAGCAGACCCAGCTTTTGCAGCAGCCTTTGCAGCCTCGCTTGCGCGACTCTCCTCGCCACCCACGTTGACAGCCGGTGGCGCATCTGCAGCCCCAAGTCCCTCCGCCTCGCGAATCAACCGCTCAACCTCCTGATCAGGATCAAAGCCCGGCCGTCCCTCACCGCCCGCCAACTGAATCTGCCCCATAAGCCCCAAACGAATGCGATCCTCCATCGGATAAGGTAACATATACACCTGGCGCGTCATATTCGCCGACTCATCCAGCCAAGACGTCGCATCCTTCGTAACACTCGACACCGGCGCCGCCTCTCCATCCTCCATCCCATTCATCCCCGTCGCCGTCCCCGTCATCTCCGTATCACGATCCCCCTGCTGAACCCTCGCTACCGCCCCAGCCTCGGCATCCGCAGCAGCCTGATGATTATACTTGCTAATGCGCCGTGCGAAATCAAGCAAGAGCCTATAATCCACCTCCCTGGTCCGCCGTAACTTCCGGGGTTTATCACTCGCATCTTGCATCTCAGCATCGCTGTCATAGCCCGAACTGTCGGAGTCATCAAGATCGGAGTCGCTATCTATTTCATCGGAGTTGCAGACCGTGCGGATTTCTTGTTCGTAGTTCACGACTGTTTTCACGATGTCTTTGACTTTTTCTTCGAGGGAGGCAGCTTCCGTCCGGAGACGGAGGATCCGAGCGTAGTTGTCTTGGTGTTTGCGGAGGGTTGCGATCGCGGATGTGAGGCTATCGTCTGCGTCTAGCAGGCTGACTGCTGCTGCTGGGGCGCCGGCTGCTGTGGGGGAGGTTGTGAGGCTAGTGATCAGGGCATTGAGTTTGTTTTCGAGGTTGGAGAGGGAGGTTTGGAATTCGGCATTCATTTTTGGGGGTTCTTTGATCGGTTGTTGTTGTATGTGGATTAGAGCATTGGTGGGGGTTTGAGTCGATTTTGGATGGCGTGCGCAATTGAACGGTACTGTGTTTGACTAGAGGTGGGTATCGGTGAGCGTAAGGAGTGTGTTGCTTGGAATTGCACGAGCGATAGTTGTTGATTTGAGGTCCAATTGAGCTCTAGGCATTTCCCGCAAACAAGGCCGATATCATGTCACGTGGATGGAGTCCGTGGCCGGCCAATCATGAGTTGTTATTCCTCTCTACATCTAGGCTGGCTTTTCATCTACTAGACACACCGTGACGTATTCTAGGGCTTGGTCGGCATTGAAGGTTAAATTGATACTCAGTTCTTTTCTCAGCCCATTGCTTCCAGACGGTTGATACCAAGAGTGAGACGTTCATAGGGTAGTGAGATACGGTTGTTCACCTACAAGGTCCTCTTCTATACCACAACTGAATCGGTAAACCAACCCGGTAACCATGGGTATTCCTAGAAACCAATCTAGACAACAAGGAAAACATCAAGTCTAAGTTCTGGAAACAGGATATCCAGGCGCGCTAAATGCTCAGAGATCTAACCAAACCAAAAGACACAGCAACGCCAAATTTGAGACACAAAATGAACAATAAATCTACACAACCATAGCCGAATTTCTTTTTCTGCCAGATATCGCTAAATCGAATGAACTCGCGTTCACTCGTCGTCGAAGAATTTCTTCATGAAGTTGTGAGCAAGCTCAACTCCCGCACTGCTAACTGTTAGTTGATTTGTCTCGTGTGCTATAGTAGAAAAAGGGGACATACAAGGTAGCGGCGTTGGCGGGAACAGCTCTGGCCAAAGCCGGTCCGAATCCAGGGAAGAAGGCCTTAAAACCACCGCTGGCGTAGACGGTGCGGATGGTTCCGCCAATTGTGGGCTTTCCGGGAGCACTCTGCAAGCGCGACTTGATGGTGTCGACGGGGAAAACGGGAATCCACATGGCAATACCAGCCGCACCACCGGCAGCCAGGACAGCGGGCATGGAGAGCTGACCGGTGACGTTGCCGTTCGCATCCTTGGGTGTCAAGGAGCGCTTGATATATTCGTAAGCAGCGAAGTAGGCGGCTGATCCGGGGCCATCACGGGCCAGCGTCATTGCGCTTCCGCGGAAGACGCTGCGGATGCCACCCTCCTTGTACAACTGCCGAACCACATCCAATCCACCGGAGTATTTGGGCTTCTGTCCCGGTGGAGGCGGGTTCTGGCCTTGGATCTGCAAGAGCACCTTGACTCGCTCAAAGGGAGCCGTAATCAGAGTCATGGGGATGGCGGAGAAGAAACCGGCGGCGGAGATCTGGCCAATGGTGTACTGAGGGGTGTTGTTCTCCACGCGCACTTCGGAGAATTTGCTAACGAGCGTCTTGCCCACGTCATAACCCTGGGAAACAGTTAGAGTCCATTTTACATGAGTGAGACGGTCGTCTATTCCAATTGGAACATACCCAAAAGCTGACAGCAACTAGCTCACAGTCAGTAATCTTTCACATGAAATATGTCGTCTGCATGGAAACTTACACATGGGGGTGACTCCGACGAGAGGAGCCGAAACACCGGCATACATTCCCTATACCCAGTTAACGCGATGTTTAGACTTGATTGGGAGTATCAACTTACGCGAACAAGGCCCTCGCGGGCGACCGTCCTCTTCACAACATCAATTGCACCGGAGTAAACACCCTTCTCCGCAGTCTGTAGACGGACCTTGACCAGGTCGAAAGGGTGTCCGACAACGACGGCGCACACCCCACCGGCAGCACCAGCAACAAGAGAACGAATTTGCGCAATAGTCTGGTTGACAGCCTTGGTCTCTACGACCTTGACGTCGTCCCGGATTGTCTCCGGGGTAGAAGCAGAGGCGGAGGACATCGTAGCGGGGTGGTCCGAGAGCGGGGAAAGCTGAACGCGGGGAGAAAAAGGGAGGAGTGTAAAGGTAGAGGTTTTAGAGAATGCCGGGTTTGCCGGGGGTTTAGTGAGAGAAGAGGTGAAATTTAAAGAGCGCGAATTAATTAAGGCAGCAAAAACAATCTCACCGGGAGAAGGAAACTGAACAGAGGAAATTGAACAAACAGCTCCAAACAAGCCAAAAGCTGGAGAACGGCCGAGGCCGAGCAATAGGAGGAGACCGACGATTACCGGAATAGGATGCTCTCGTGACTTGGACCTCGGCTCGGTACGGGTCAACTAGTCTTCCGGCACCGAATGATTGCGATGTCAATCCCGAGTGTTATCTACGTACCGGTCTGTCTATGCGACAGAGTCTGTGTCTTGTGGGTGTGAAATTTAGCGTTAAATCTGCATTATAACATTGGTCCATATCCTTATATTTATATACATTGACATCCATTTTTCCCATATCGAACTTCCCGTGACATCCAGGCCACGGCGCCGGATGAACGGGCGCCAAACTCCAATTGTTGAAGCCATCTTGCATTGGCTGCCATTGCTCCGATGTGCTTTGTCAAAGCGGCCAGGCGTATGCTACGGACGACAGGAAGTCCACATTGAACCAATACACTATTTGTACTGACCACTATGGGATCTCTCCCTCTATCAGCTGAACCGCATAGAATGAATGATATACGGAATTGTTACTGTCAACTGACCTCATGCCGCCAAGCGATCACATGCGGAGGGCTGCCATTGGGTGCACGTGCGCCTCTCCCACTGGAACGGATCCTGAAACTTAAGGTATCTATTTAGTACAAAAGGAGACAAGCGTCCTATAAACACCAGTGGCCCCTGATCTAATCGATCTAAGTTTTGAGTATCACGAGCCTTCAAGTCAATTGGGCTACTCCGTACCAATCGAGGAATTAAGCTACGCTTGGCATGCACACATGAGATGGTTTAAATGTAATTATTGGATCAATTCAAATTAGTACGTCATGACACAGCTATAGCTGGGTAGTCACTAATTATCTACCGTCGTAAACGAAGAATCCGTTACAAAAACATGTACAGTACAGGATGCAAAATAAATCAGGCGAAAGGCGGGGAATCATAAACGCCATCGCTCATCCAAGGGTGCAGTCGGTCATTAATAAAGTGTTTAGAGAACGAAGAAAGCGGCGAGGGCAAGAACACCCAGGGCACCGCTACCCAAGACAGTCTTGGAAGCAGCAGAGTCGGTAGAGGTGCTGGAGGGAGCAGTTTCAGTTGCGCTGCTGCCACCGTTGGAACCGCCGTTGGAGCCTTCAGTGGAGCTGGAGCCATTAGAGCCGGTCTCGGAGGAGCTGGCGCCGTCGGTGGTGCTGCTAGCAGAAGTGCTCAAGGTAGTCGAGCCGGTGGTAGACTCGCCAGTCTTGGAGGCATCGGTACCAGTGGCAGTCGAGTCACCGGTCTTAGAAGCATCAGTGCCAGTAGCAGTGGCAGTGGAGTCGCCGGTCTTGGAAGCGTCGGTGCCAGTAGCAGTGGCGGTGGAGTCACCGGTCTTGGAGGCGTCGGTGCCAGTAGCAGTGGAGTCGCCAGTCTTGGAAGCATCGGTACCAGTAGCAGTGGCAGTGGAGTCGCCAGTCTTGGAGGCGTCGGTACCAGTGGCAGTCGAGTCACCAGTCTTGGAAGCGTCAGAGCCAGTGGCAGTGGCAGTGGAGTCGCCGGTCTTGGAGGCATCAGTGCCGGTGGCAGAGGCGGAATCACCAGTCTTGGAGGCACCACCACCGTTGGTACCAGTAGCGCTGCTGTCCGAAGAGCCGTTAGGGCAGGCAGCAAGAGCGGCAGCCACGACGGCAGCAGCACTCTCGTCAGGGCAAGCCTCAGTAGTGCAGTCGCGCACACCATAGGAGTAGTTGCCGCTCTTGCACAGGCAATCCAAGTCACCGCTGGAGCAACCGAGCTCGGAAGCCTTGGCGTTCATGTTGCTGATGCACATTTGCTAAGAGGAGTTAGTCTTGTTTCTTCGCCGATAGCCATGGACAGGAAGCACATACAGCGCATTCACCAACAGAGACATCGGCGCTCACCATGCTGGTGGTGGCAGCCAGGAGAGCCAGAGAGAGAGCAGTGGTCTTCATGATGAGGAATCTGTGAGGTTGGATGTGGACCAAATAGAAGGCAGGAGAGAGGCGATCAGATGAAATGAGGCGTGAGCCGAGTGATCGAGGGGAGGAAACTGGATGATGTTCACTTCAAGATGTGGCAGGGGAAAAAAGAATGGCAAGAGATCGGAGGGGAAGAAGCTGATTTAAAAAGGCAGGAAGCGACGCGCAAATCTCAATTCTACCTCCAAGCTTTTCGGGGACCCGATCAACAAGAGAAATTTTTTTTATTTTTTTGCTTTTCAGCTTCTTTTCCGAAATTTTACTTTTTTTCTCTTCCTTTCTCTAATGCGATCGTCACTGGCCACTTGCGCGGTTGGCTTTCCAAGGTCTCCAGCCAACGTGGCTAGGGCAAGTATCACGGACCAACTCCCATGCGAAGTGAAGTCATTGACCAGCCCACCGAATTTGATTTTACTGATTTTAATCTTAGTCTGCAAGGTAAAGTGTGTGGGTGGCTCGATTCATCACGGCCTATAGAGTATCAACCAGCCGCCACAGATCCACTTCAGCCCACCTTCGATCCTACGCACTCTTTTCATAGGTCGGCCGGTGTTAGTAACTCAATAGTCTGGGTGGGTTCAAGATTGGTTTTTTTTTTTTTTTTTTTTTTTTATTTCCCCTCTGTTTCTTGTCGGCCTTTTGTTGTTATCGTATCCATGGAAATAATGGGAAACAGCGTGGTTGAAGTTCCCATCGCTCGCGTTCCGTTAGGAAGAGATGAGCTGGCATAGGCCGAAAAGCCGATTTAGAAAATCCAAGACTTTCGAGATCCATGGTTAAGATAATCCTGTCGCATTGATTCATGTCCTTTTTCAGCCCCTCCCGCATAATGAAATTGAACCAGGTACTATCTCATGCACTCTGCAAGAGCGTGATGGCGATGTTAAAAAAAATGTGGTTCAACACTAGAATTAGCATTATCTATTACATTGTCTCTCATGCACCCTGCACGGTGACTTTACTAACCCTGCATCAAAAACAGGAAGTTGGTACGACCGCCGACGTCAAAGGCGGCGTCATGGTGACTGCCCAATATCAAGGAGCTGATCTTGAGAGCGCACGGGATTGGACCTGGCAAAGGACATTCCGCGCTCTTGACCGACTGAAAGGAAATGGATCGCCGGTGGATCCGATCACCGTGACCAACAGATCGTAATTGAACAATCGGCACCAATCATTCCACCCACTCTCTGGTTGGGTTGTGGATCACTACTGCAGTGGGAACTTAGGAAGCGGACTCACCAGCCACACTTCCCACAGCCAAGAGGGTCTTGGTAGTGGCTTTGGACTTGGCCGAAGTCCCAACTCCCAACTCCCAAATCCCCTTAGATGTGGAGAAAGCTCTTGTTTTCCGCCACCCGCTAACTGCGACCATTGCCTACGGCAACCGTGGTCGTCTTGCGCGCTGAGAGCGGTTCACCGTGAGAGTTTTGTTCTAGTAATTTCGGCTGGTAATCACGGAGTTCCTCGTGTGAGCCCCTCTTGCATCTACAAACCCACAGGTTTAGGGCTAAGGCGTTTTCCAGCCACTCGCATCACTGCGGTGGCTGGAATGAAGGACTGACACTGAAGTGTTGTTACATTCGCATGTACGGAGTAGGGGGGTGTACCTTCATTTTACCGTCCAGTAGTTGCGAAAAGTAGGGAGGAACACGGACGGAAAGGAACTGAGTTCGATCGACAGGACATACGAGTTCTCTTCTCCACGACGGATAAAGATCGCCGGGGTATAGCTTTTCCCCCTCAAAAAGAGAAAGGTTAAAAAAAAAAAAAAAAAAAAAAAAAAAAAAAAAAAAAAAAAAAAAAAAAAAAAAAACAAATAGACTTGGACGAACTGTGGCGGTGCAGCTGCCCCTTCCCGCAGCCCTAAGGAAAGCCCGGACAAAGTCCGAATAAACGTCACAGTTTATTCACCATCAAGAACCAACCTTGGTCATGGATTATCGATTGTGGGAATAATCTCATTCTTGACTTGATGCTAGCTGAAATAAACCTGTAGCCTAATTACGGAGAACACCGATCAGCCACACTGTCATAGAATTGAACCCCAAGCTTTTCAAGTCATGCGGCCCTCGCATGAGCCACACTAGCCCAGAGAGACCCAGAAAGAAGAGATACAGCCCGGTAGGTGGTCACCGAACTGCAGCCGAAAGTTTGTCAACCTTCTAACTTCTTAGTTCTCGCAGAGCTTTCCTCGGCCGGGCCTCAATAGAACGACCAAAAATCCCCCCTAGTGCATATACTAAATTAGATCCATGTGATGATGGATCTAGACCTCAGTCAAGATAAGCGACCGAGTAGATTAGACCCCGGCCAAGGTCGGTTCAGAAAGCAGATTCGTAGCTTTTTCTTGTCGCATGCAAGTCATACCGACCTACATACAGTAAGTAACAATGGCTATAATTAACTACACAGAAGCGAAGTTTTATAGAACAACCTCTTACCGTAAGGGATATATATACTCCTAATGAACAAAGGTGCGCCCCTTGCTTCGGCAATACTACACAGTAAGTTCTTAAAGTAGCTTAGTAGTATGTAATGGCACAGAAACACGGACAGCGCATATTCTGAAACCAGTTCGAGGCCTTCAAGACCTTCCACAAAGTCTATGATTTCCAATTCATTCGTGCTTACTCCATATTCCAAATCATAAAATCGCCCGTTTCTATAGATCGAAGTAGATCATGTCGATTCCAGGAATGCTTTCCCGAGGAAACGAATTCCGGCTAAAATCTACCAATGAGGACGGATAATGATGGTGACTCCCACGTGCGTAAAAAGGTATAGATCGACATTTCTAAGTTATCTTCCCCCATGGAGTTGAGAGTGGGATCCGCACGTTCCATTAAGTTCAAGTGATTTATCTCGATTTAAACTCGGCATTTGGATTGATGGGGTCCTAGAGCTTGACGGTTGGCCAATACCATGAAGAGTCAGGCAGACTAATACATACCAAATCAATAAATCTTCAATAGCTACTCATTTCGAGAATATACCGATTTATTAGTATTGGTTCTGGCCGACCCAATCAAATAATAAATAAAATTACCGTAGTTCCTAGGTTGAGGTATAATATATCTCGGACGATATATTCGCGCACTGAGCTGGACAACCAGTTCAAACGAACTCTATATTTCTTCCACAGAGAAGCGATCAGGCCGCGACCAGTTCATGACTAACTTTGATGTCTAATTCTAGTTCGCAGTGACATATGCGAGGTGGCCTTGCCGATGAAGCTTAAAGCCATTGTCGATGTCGCTACATAGCAGAGCCCTATCACCGCCCTATCTCAGATTTAATGTTGCCTCAACTTAATAATCTTTTATGCCTGGTTAAATGCCGTTGTAGTTAAAATGCAACTGTCGTCAGCGTGTGACTACGCCTTGGGATGTGCTCATGGGTTACGCGTATCTCCGTTGTCTGTTGACGAAGCCTGCAGTCAGAAATATAAAATTAGAGTGCCGCAGCCCATGACACATAACGCCAACGCATACCATGCTATGGCCCTTATTTTGGCTTCAGATACATCATATATCTTTGTAGGTCATGACGTGGGCTGTACCTTGCAGATCATATTCCGTTTTCGATGTCTTACTGCATATTGAACGATCGTTTCTATATAGGGAAGTTGCATAGACCTCGCTATCAACGAACAAAGAATCGTCGTTCCGTCTTACCGCGTATTGATAAGGCTGTGAGATCGTTCTTGAATAGATTTTCGTAATTCATTATATCTGTTTTTGAAGCTTTTCTTTGTCGTTCTGCACTTATAGAGTAAATAGAATTCCCAACAATTACTATAAGAATCCTTCCAAGTCGACGATTCAGACACTTGTCTTAGACGACTGACTCTTGATATTAGAGAGATAATCTCACCGCGGTGTTCTTCTGACGAAGATGCTTCTATCTGGATTCATTGTATTAATCTATGACATGTCTTAACACCCAGTCAATCATAATTTGTTCTGCTGTTCTATCTATCTTCGATCAGTATATTTACTATCTATAGTCTCACACCAACAAGCTCTATACTATAGCAATCCTATGTACATCCGATATCATACCCCCAGTTCGCTAGAATCCTCTAGAATTTCACAAACAATCAACGAGTTCACAATCCTCCATCGACAAAACAAGCTGACCCTTCAACAGGTCAACCGGAGTTAACTCATCATCACCATTCAACCGATCATCCAACCTCAAAACACATTCACACCGAGCCTGCATCAGACCCTGCAGAACCTCGTCCTCGTTATACCCAACCTCCCTTGCAATTCTGACAGCCAACCGCATCCCAACAGTCAACACCAGCCCCGCAATATCAGTCGCAGGATATCCGACGCCTGCATCCGCCCAATCCAGTATGCCAGTAATCCGCCCATCAGGATTGACAAGGATATGCTCTCCCTTGATATCATTATGAATGAGCACCCGCCGTGACATCCCTTCACTAGGATACCTCACCCGGTCTATAAACGCCGTCTTCCTCTCACCCAACCCCTCAAACTCACCCTCATCCTTAACCCCAAAATCACCCCCCAGAATTTGCCCCTTACCAACCAATCTCCTCCACGCAACGACCGCCCTCTCCCTCATCCCCCGAATCTCCGGCCACTCAATAAAAGGCACCTCAAACCCAACCACCCCAAGATCCCTCAACCTCCCCTCCAACCCAGAGAGATCAACCCCATTCAAAACCCTCATCAATTCAACCAACCCCTCAACCGTCCTCTCACTCAAATACTGACGCAACCCACCCCGAATCAACCCAGTTCCATCTAACATCGTCTCCAAAGAAACAGCATAAACCCCATCCCCGGTGAGAACTTCATGCCCCACAGACCTAGGTATGATGTCCCCAGATAACCCGCGAGCCTCGTATTCAGTGGCGATGAGTTCCCGCACCGCGATGTCGAACTTTTGCATATGAGTTCCGTTTAAGGGTCGGTCTTTGCGGGGTTTTGTCACGCGGAGGAGGTGGTTTGGGGATTCGGTGATGGTGAAGATCATATGATCGTCGCCTTCGATTTTGGGGTGGCGGGTTAGGGTTGCTTGGGGTAGGTGGAGGGTGGTCTTTGTGAAGGTTTCGAGGGTTGGGAGGGGGATGGGGTTTTTTGGTGGTGGCATTTTTAGTTATTGATTGTTTTTGGTCTCTTTTTTTTTTATGTAGGTTTTTCTTTGGGGATGAAGGTTCGATTGGGCTATTAATTGGGTGCTGTGGTCACGTTGTGGTGTTGTACCTTCGGTAGTGTCTCTACTTTACTATATATATTTAGGTGTGGAGGACATGGATTCTCGTATACGACGTCGGGGTCCCAAAGGGGTAAGTGACATCAACTTCACATTCTAGGCACCAATGTATAGAGGAAGAGGTTTACGAGATTGAAATCATACGATAGGATCAAGAAAAAAGATGCCTGCAGATTCCTCTGAAGAATTGTAGTAATATACATACCACTAGATAGAGATTCCGCTCACGGAATGTCGCGTGGTGATCCCTGGATGTCCCCATTCTCTACAGCCTTGTCCAGCGGTCCACCACGATTAGATAGAGATCAGTAAGATAATAAATTAAGGTATTTTTACAACCGAAGGAAGGAAATGACCTTGACAACATTATTAGCGACGCCTCAACGGTTGACGAACGCTCAAAATAGATCCAAGTAGGATCCACTTACTCGGGTGTAGGGCTGGTTCGGATAGTGGAGCTACCCAGGTGAAGAACTTTTCAGTCCACAAAAATCGATCGAAAACAGGGCTCAAAAACCAAAAATATTGACCGACGCAGGGATCGAACCTGCAATCTCTTGATTCGTAGTCAAGCGCCTTGCCATTGGGCCAGCCGGCCTTGATTGTTGGAAAGGTGAGACCTTAGCAGGCCTATGTTCGAGTAATATCTGGTAAAAAGTGTGGTCATCAAAAATCTAGGTATGTTACATTGGGTATATATATGCTATCCGACAAAAAGAACATATGAAAAGGAAAAAGGGAAGTAAAGAGAGTAAAGAGATCGTATCATGTATGGTCAACACTGATCATCGCACATCGCTAATAAGCGCTCCTTTTCACTGGGAGCGCTTTCCAACACTACGATCTGGGGAATGGCAGCCTGAGTCTTCTTCTGGTTCTGCTTCCTGCAACCCCGAACACAGTAAAACACTGAGATGAAAATTTTGCCCATGATAAACCCAACCATACAAGCAACCACCCCGGCCATGACACCTAGCAGGGCGGGCATGACGACCGGACGCATCAATCTCCCGAAGTTCTTCTCCCGACCGGCCCAGTAGCCGGGCCTGTGGTAATAGCGGTGATGCTCTGGAGCGATCGTGTGGTGCTTGTCGACTGGAGGTTGCATGTGGCCATGCTGGGGTCTCGCGGCCGGAGGCTTCGATCCCGGACCGTGCATGCAGTCCTTGACGGCGTCCTTCATTGCCTGAAGGCTAGCAGTTAATTGGGCCATCCATGACGGCGGTTCGTCGTGGTGGTGATGGCCGAGGATGGGGTTGGTTTCAAGTTGAGTGATTTGAAGGTTTCCGTCCGAGTCTTGAGTCAGTGTGATCGTGACGAGGTGATCGGAGGCGGGCCGCCCTTGCAGGTCAAACAGTCTGAGTTTCAAAAGGAAGACGCCCCCAAGTTCTTCGTCAGGGCGTGACGGCATGGGCCGGACATCGAGCTCATAGGCCAAGTCGACCGTCTCTCGGCCCGATTGGAAATGCCGGACTGCATGGAATCGCATTGGGAAAGTAGGTGGGAAGATCGGGTCATGGTTGGCGAGGAGGGTGCCATTTTCCGTAGAGAAGTCCAGGGTCTGCCTGAGTTAGCGACGGCGTCCTCATCCTGCTTCTAATTTCATGGGTCCAAACGCACCAGATGGGAATGAAGATCAATGTCTTCCGAACATTCAGCATCTGAGAATGAACAAAGAGCGGTCGGCACGTTTGTTGGACGGGCGTTGGAGATGATTCGGCTTCGAAACTCAGGATCCAGCCCGGACAGTTCGACCTTATGCTCCGGCAAAGACAACGCAGCACAGCTGCTTAAACAGAACGCGCCTGTCAGAGACAGGAAACGCAGCAACATGGTGAAAGAAGTAGTAGTCGACGGCGGGAGGAGGGTAGTAGTGAAGGTTGAAGGTGGCAGTTAAGGGTTAGGGCGAAAGCGTGATAGGGCGTGGTTATTTACTTCTGTAATTCGGCGAGAGAGTTGGTACAGAAGTGGCAACCGTCAAGGGAAAAGAAGAAAAGCGGGAGTCAGCGGGCATTATATAAAGGCAAGAGGGGCCAATAAGGCTTATATGCATTTATTAATACATTAAGTTAAGAACTTGACTCACTCTAACTATCTGGGGAACATCCGATGGCCAACACTGGACGATCGCCGACTGACACCTTCAGGCAAAGAACCAAGCCCAATAGCCAAACTAATTAAGACTAGGGACTGGCGTACAATATCATTGGACAAGGTGAGACTCGTGGGTCAATGATTTCCTGAACATGGATCGATCGAGTCCAGATATCCAAGGCTGTGTAACGGGCTAAAAAAAGACCAAGAAAAATTTCTTCTGAGCAGCTTGTTAGCCCGTCTCACCATGAGACTGCCGAAGTGCTGATCAATTTTTTTTTTCTAGCGATTTGATTCTAGCTACATTGTTATTTCCTCTTGGCGAGCCGCATCGAGGAAAGAAATCTACGCTGAGATACGAGAGAGTTTGGCGATCATCCTTTGTCTATAAGACATATCATGCAAAGGCGGTTGCCTGTAATTGTAAGAGAACCTTAAGGCTCAAGAGTCAAAGATGATAGGGGAATATGGTAATCTGTCGCAGGATCAGCAATTGGCTGCGCCTCTCGTTGGCTCAGGGTCCAAAACGATGCCCCACGGCAAGCTTCTTTTCAGGGGTTGGAAGAGGCAATGATAGCCGGTCGCGTATATCAATCAATGTTGGCCTCTGATTGCACCACTCGTCTATTGTATTCTTACTATTTCACTACATAGCCGACGCGTCCCGTGCGTATATCCACCATGATAGTAGTAGGTCCCCAAGGATATTGGCTGAAGACACATGCCGTGCCCTTCGCTGAATTATAGGGCCTTTCAGAAGGTTAAGCAGCATGGGTGACATTGACAACTGCAATGCAACAGCTAAGTTTGGCCAGAGTGGATCAATTTTGAGGCAGTGCATCAACACAATTGGCCGCGAGGCAGTTTGAGGGATTAACTGCTCCAATAACAGTGAGGACAAAAGCTTAGCAGCCAAGTTTAACTAGTGACCCGTATTGGTCCCTTCTTTGTCTTACTGCCACTTGTAATTGAAACTTCCTCGGAGTATCTGTTACCGTGGTTCAATTGAAGTCTCCCCGACACGAGCCTCACCAAACCCTACTTTTTTGGTATTATGTCTGCCTACAGTATCACATTTCCCCGATTCGTCGACACCGGATCCTTGACATTTGCTTTGATTTTAGTTCCACGTGTGTTCTTTTTCTGGTTTACTTTCTTTTGAAACCACGATCTACCCAGAGGAGCTAGTCTACTCCGTAAGGTAACCCTTTTTGTCGTTCGGAGCCTCCGAACCATCAGAGACTTCTGAGACATCTTCTGGAACATAATGTGCGCGCTCCACTTCTCCGCTTGCTGACCTTTCTATGGAATCCCGCACAGTTTACGCAAGTATAGAAAACTCCTCGTGGTCTGTTGTCACCGAAGCCAAGCTCATGGGCAGTCATTGACTGACTGGGTTTCACCTGGCGTGAGTGGCTCGAGCGCCACATTGGATCTGGGCCTGGAATAAGAGTTTTCATTTACAAATACGGTCATATCCGCCCATATCCGCTGCAACATTGGAAATTCCCCCGTGTGACCATCTAGGATGTTCCTATGCTACATCATCCAGTTGGACGTTGGAACGCTTATTTGCTGCTTCCTGCCGTTGGGGCAGTACGGTCATTTCGATGGAATGGCTTGAGACCAACACCCAACTTCAGGATTCTCCACTCATGCAGCGGCCAGCTGTTACGGACAAGAAGATGTCGATCAGATACCCCCGGTCTCTTTAAAGTGAGGCACAGAACTCTCTCACAGGCGTAGTGGAGGGACAGTAGGCGTATTTGCACCCACTCCGCTCAATCCTTACGGATGCACGTGCTGTATGAATACCAGTCATATCCTCGGGGCTTCGTTGGTTCTCTAGGTATACTGATTGTGGAAGCAACATCGCGAAGGTGGGTCTCCAAGTAACGATGTGTATTGACCACCACCCGGTGGCCATGGGATTGCGTATACTGTGGGCTCTGAATAAAGCAATAAGAGATGTTCCGTAGAGGCCATGGTTCGCTGGGTGTTATATTGTTGCCTGAGATTTTCGTCCGTCCATGTCGAGTACCGGTCCTACTCCAGGCAGCCGGCAACTGTTCTCCACTAGAGTGGGATCTTGAGTTTCTTATCTCAAGCCTTGATCTTTTCTTTTCGCTGCTGCCTTGTTGCTTTAGGGCTGAAAGTGCTGTAGGTTATACTCGAAGCGTGTCGATCCATTACTCCCACAGATATGGAAGACGGCAAACGCAGGCGTTGATCATTATTACTCATTACTCTGACATTGAGAAATGACTATGTTATTCACGTGGGCTGACGCGCCGCGAACAGCATTGTATTCGCTGGGACTGATGCTGCTTACCCAACAGCTTCTCATTTCTGTTCTGCTGTTCCAGCGATCTGAGCAAAAAAGGGCAGATGGCCAGTGATCTCTCCTCCATTATCCGATATGTGCTTTGGCGTCCTCGATCCTCTTTCGACTCGCTTTGTAATATCTACACGATTTGCCCTCACTGTATCATACCATCATCGCATCATTTATCATCTACCTCACGCACCTTAAACTCAAACATTCCATTTGACGGCACTGCATGTTCATCCTGCAACTTCATAGCCGTCTCAACTCCGGCGGCAGGCACCCGATACTCAAACCTCTTTCCAGGCCCAGGCAGCTGTCCACCGGGAAGTGCATACGGGTAGGGAAGGTATTCTGGCATCAGACCTAGCTGTATGAGCACTGTTGCCTGATCCCACGCGATATGTTCGTGATACAAACGATCTCCACGAATGTTCACAACTGAAGTAAATGGGATACGGAGCGCTTTTCCAGTTGGTGGGATGCCGGGTAGTCTATTCCAGTTAGTTAACGGTCGGGATAACGCCATCGACCGAGGCGGTATGATGGACGGTATGCACTAAGGTATGGCATTTATACTTACAGCCAGTCGATCTCCTTATTGTGTGTCAGGCTGAAGATGAATTCATCGACGATCCGATCCGTGCCGACCGTCCGGCTGATGAGTTCCAGTGCGGTGTCGCTCGGGTTGTTGAAGATGAAATTCTCCAGGTAGAACTTGCTCAGTCGTGCTCGTCCGATTCCCTCCGTCATCTTTTTGCGTTAGTCTAAGGATATAGTCGTGTATATGGGGAGAGAGGCGAGACTCACGGTCGGGATATGGTTGACATACGGCTCCTGCACCATCGTCGCCATGGTCCTTTCTACGGATCGATCCCCGAATTCGTACCACGTGTGCTCCTCCCAGATCTTCTCCAGATCGAAGTACGGCCCGTTCAGCTGTTTCTTCAGGAATGCCAGGGAGCGTGTGTGTGCGACTCCGGCAGCCGTGATTTTGAAGTCACCATGCCCAGGGACGATAAACCCGGCGGAAGAAACATCCGCATATGAGTAAACTGTGTCATTGTCCTTCTTCACAGGACCCGCAGGTTGGAAGTTCCCAGGAATATGTGAGAGAATTGGAACTGATTCCTCACTAATGTTCCAGGAGCTGAAAAAGACTGCAGCCGCAAGCCTTTTATTCAAAGCTGTGATGACATTACCCAGGATCTTTCCGAATTCAGGCGCATAATCGGCGGGAGAAGCGTAGACTATATCCTATCAACGTGCCTTTCTCGTAAAATTATAGACTACCTCGTACCTAATGTGGCGAATCTATCCTTCTTCTCACACTCACTTGATGAGTCAAACGCTTCAATGCCTCTTGTCACAAGCGCCACAACACCACTCTCATCCGCACTCGTTTTATGATCCAACGTGATCTGCACCACCGCATAACTCTCCTCTGCCCATTTCTGCACGGGCTCCGGGTCAAGACTGGTATTTTTTGCTTGACATTCTGCATAGCTATACGGGCGGATGATTATTAGACCGGGTCCACGCCCGCATCGCGAAAGTGGGGGTTGAAGCAGAACGTTCTGTCCCAAAGACACCTGAGGCGCGGAGGGGAGAGGTGGCGCTGCCATTTTGATACTCTGCGTCGGTTTGCCTTTTTTATATAGTATACTGTTCTGGCAGCTACTTCTTCGTGAACGTACAGAGAAGAAGTGAGGTCTCTCGGTTAATTGCTGACAGTGTTCAATTTGGTTATAAGCCGAGGTCGACCCCACTTGTTTATCGCGGAGTTGATAAACGGGAAGTCATTTTCAGCCTTTCTTAGAGCATATATCCATCGATGACTGCAATGCTTCCTGTGGCGGGCTCCACAAAATTTCCAAATCCTAGGATCTTATTTGAGGAGCAGGACCTGGGGGTTACGTGCATCTATAATGATAATGGCAATTATAGTACATGTACCAGATATCCAGATACAATATACCTTCTTCCCCCCTTCTCCTCCTCCCCAACCAAAAATAAAGCCAGTTAACAACCTCATTTCAAGACATCCAAAGGCCGCGCGGCCGTAAAAGTCAAGAAAGGAGGACACGTCAAAAACGCATCCCAATCCACATCACCCACAAGGACATCATCAGTAAAAGACGTCCACCGAAAACCACGCAAACCAGCCAACAAACTCGATCTCTCGTACAGCACCCTCGGCAGATAATAATTAGTAAAAGAAAAAGGCGTGGACGTATACAAAGTCGCCCGAACCTCCAATCCCCCATCCTCAATCGGACCCAGCACTTCCAAATCCTGCCCGAAACGCCGCTCCCGAGGAAACGCCGCAGGGCCATCATCCAGTAGATCCAGGTTCGGACTAATCCCAATCACCTTACCCCCGGGCTTCAAGCTGTGATAGATGTTGCGCCACATGCCTATAAGCTCTTGCTCGTTTCGGGCGTAGTTTAGTAACCATGGTGCCAGGACGAGGTCGAATTGTCCCACGTTGACGTTCAATGGCTGGCTACAATCTGCGATGTGGAATTCAATTCGCCTGTCCCCTTTTGCGCTGCTGCGTGCTGCTTCGATCATCCTTGGGGATATGTCTATTCCCGTGGCGTGGTTGGCACCCCATGAGATGGCCTTTCGGCAGTAGAATCCTGGCCCACAGGCTAGTTCGAGGATGGTGAGTCCTTTGACGTCGCCGATTAGGGATTGTATGGCTGCTAGTTGGAGCTTGCCTGTGGTGATTTGGGCGACGTCATTGTAGGAATCTCCGATGGTGTCGTATTTTTGGACTGGCATTTTCGAATCGAGGGTTTAATGGCGACGGTCAGTCAATGCTGGGATGTGACGAATTCCAAGAAGACTAGAGCTACTGCTACTTGTAAATACTGCTGATCTGAAAAAGGGTGCTTGGCAAAGCGGGCACTTTTCCTGCATAATGGCCTGACTATATTGCTCTGTCGGCGCTCTCCGAACTAACAGGTGTCCCTTGTCACTTTTCATATTGCACGTACATTTTGGACCAAACTTCATCTTGATTAAGTATTCACATTCTGAAGATACAATATTTATTCTCAGTACATGTCTCTTGTCCCCTGCTGCGTATAGATTTAGGATTAATTGGCATTTGGAGACACTTTTGCGCTAGAGGCAATTTAGGGTTAGGTGTGATGTTGCAAGACGATCCCTTAGACTTGGGGCAATACGGGACTTTACAGTTTAGCTTTGTGTCGGTGCTATAAATCTTTAACGAAAAAGTACTGGAAGGGATGGTTAGTATTATTATTGCGTAATAATTAATCAAGATTTATACAAACTGGATATAAAGTGACTATTAGTTTCTATCGGGAAACCCCCGCAGATCAGCGACTTTCCCCGCCTGGTCTGGGCTCTGGGATATATGCATATGGATTCCAGAACCGAGGTATAACTTAGCAAGCGAGAGGACCTTGGCCACCATTGCCCTAAACGGATCAATGATAGCATGCTGTTGGTTCGATGCTTTCAGATTGGGTACTATTCTCTTAACACCTGGGTGGATGGATATGTCCTACTACTGGACCACCACCATTCTCCACCCGCCCAGTATCGTTAAGATTTGTGTGTCAGATGGTGGAGCCGGCACGGGAATGTCGGCTATGTAAGTGCCCTGGGATGAATGGCTTCGCCGCTTGAACGATTTGGATAATATTGGACACTAAGAAGGAATTTGCAAAGACTTTGGCCAAGGCGTTTAAAACTGAGTTTGCCGAACTCCCACAGGCCTAGTCATCTATTGTGGACGGACCCACTGTTATCTTAACCCCAATACCTGGGATATCGATATAGATCTTGTTCAAGGTCGGTATTGCTTTGATGAATTCTTTCAGATAGTCCTCTGTGAAATCATACTCGGGTCTCCCCCATTCCCCGTTGTAATTCAGGGTTAACAGCTCCAGTGTTACGCCATGATGGCCCTTTAGAGCCTCGAGGTGTCCCCTCATGGGAAGGTCATGTGGATCACCCAGAGAGCGCCGGATCTCTATCCCAAAATCGTAATTCAGCCAACTAAATTCCCTCAGAGGGTTCATATGCATGATGACCTCAGGAACAAAGACTGGAGGTCCCTCGTCCTCATAGAGCAGACGGTCGATGACCAGGGACTGCAGGGAGGGTAGCTGCTGCTGAGAAAATGCGACTATGACATCTTCTGAGGTCACACTCCCGCTTAAGCAGCCAGTCAGATAAAGGTGCCGGAGGTTGGGAAACATTGGGGGTGGAAGGGCCACGTCCTTGGCAAGAAAGGTCATCGAAACAGGAGGTTTTGCGCACCACAAGTTAAGAGAAAGCCACTGGTTGTAGAAATCCAGCTCAAGACGGTGGAGATTGCGGAGCCTCGCCAGACTTTGTTGGAAAGCTGGATGTATCCTCCCAAAGTAAATGTAGGATGAGTAGTCCCCGTCATCTTGTGTCGTAAGAGATAGACTAAGTAGGTCATCAGGGAGACGTTCCAAAAGTGCCGATCCGTTTGCCACGAGTTGATCGCTGCACCCATCATCCCCATCGGTCTGGCCCTTGCCATCCCAAGTATTACTACTGTTTCCGTCCAGATTAATAGCGACATGCCTTAATCTAGGCAATAGGCTCCCTTTATCTAAAGACGCCAGCAGCCAATCCGTTTGCTGGTTGTTGGAGCTCCAAAATTGAACATGTGAAAAGATGATTGAATGGTGATGGTGCGCAGTGTCCTGCAGCTAAGGATGAGTGGCAAGGCAGTCCGACTGACCATCCGTCCTGGAGGAAGCTTTCCCTTGGAGTAGTCATTGATGGGATACGGCTCCCAAACCTTGGGAGCGCCAGTGGGTTTCTGTTGTTCCTCGAGGTCCAGAGCAATTCGAACAATTAGTTCCAGAAGCTCAAGGGGCAGCGCTTCAATCATGCTTATTGACTTGCGCGAGTCTATTGGTGTCGGATTGTCGTGGCTAGATTCCTGCGAATCTTGGCAGGGTGAGTTAGCATGCACAATTGAGCCTGTTTCAGGGACAGGAGCCATTGAGCCCTGTAGATTTTCGTACTCCCATGCGTAGGGTTCTGTTTTCCAGCTTCGCGGGATAGATGCGAGCGGCCAGGATGAGGATAAGGCTCTTGCGTAAGCCACTTTTTCCTTTGCTATTTCCTGTCCAATTCTTTCCCGGCGAAGATTTTGTTGTACACGCGGAATTGTCCTTGCCATGACACCAGTTTCTTGGCAGAATCAGAGAGTTGCTGCGGTTCAAACACACATGCAGTGCAGTTGCAACTTTTTATTCTAGTTTAATAGATAATAATTTATATAAAATCAAATACTAGTTTATTAATAGATTCTATATATTATAGTTATTATAGATTTTATTTTATATTTTAAGTAATATTAATATCTCTAAAAGTTTATTTAAAATCTTTTTTATTTTTTTACTCTAGTCTAGAGTGGCATAACCTAACCGCTGTAACCTAGCCATAACCTAATCTAACCGGCCTCGGTTAGATTAAGATATAAAATTCCTTAACCGACACTGATTAGATTAGGTTAAGATTAATTAATCTCTTAACCGCAGTTAACTGTAGGCCAGAGTAAATTAGATTATAGTAATTAGATTAATAACTATAAATTAATCTATAATTAATTACTAATAATTTTATAGTATTTATTATATTTTTTTTAATTTATTTTATATATAGAGTTATTACCAGTTATAATTAATAGTTATTATATTAGATATAGTTAGATAATTCGAAAAATAAATTTTCTAGATTATAACTATAGATAAAAATCTATATAATATT